GAATGGATCACCTGAGGTCGGGAGTTCGAGACCAGCCTGACCAACCAACATGAAGAAACTCTGTCTCTATTAAAAATACAAAATTAGGGCCAGGCGCAGTGGTTCACGCCTGTAATCCCAGCACTTTGGGAGGCCGAGGTGGGTGGATCACGAGGTCAAGAGATGGAGACCATCCTGGTCAACACGGTGAAACTCTGTCTCTACTAAAAATACAAAAAATTAGCTGGGCATGGTGGCGCGTGCTTGTAATCCCAGTTGCTCAGGAGGCTGAGGCAGGAGAATCGCCTGAACCCAGGAGGCAGAGGTTGCAGTGAGCCAAGATCACAACCATTGCACTCCAGCCTGGGCAACAAGAGCAAGACTCTCTCTCAAAAAAAAAAAAAAAGAAATAACAAAAATTTACATATTTTAAAATAAAATTAAATCTAAAAAAAAGTAGTCAGGCACAGTGGTACACACCTTTAATCCCAGCTGAGGCTGGGCAGGCATCTCACTTGAACTCAGGAGATTGAGACCAGCCTGGGCAACATGGCAAAACTCCATCCTTACAAATAGAAAAAAAACTAGCTGGGAGGGGTGGCACACACCTATAGTCCCAGCTACTCAGGAGGTAGACATTGGAGGACCAATCAAGCCCCAGAGGTCAAGGCTGTAGTGAGCCAAGGTTGCGCCACTGCACTCCATCCTGGGGGACAAAGAATGAGAATGAGACCTTGCCTTAAAAAAAAAAAAAAAAGGCAATCTGTAAAACATGAAAACAAATGTACCTAACTGCACGTAAAATACAGTATGCACACCTTACATTTGTAGAAGGATTTAGTCCCGGGGGAAGAAGACCTGCAAACATCTAGTAGTCTCATATTAATAGTAATATTAATATTATTAATTTGACACAGGTTTTTATATATTGTATGATAAATAAAGCTTTTACGAAGGTAAGAAAAGAGAAAAAGACAAGAAGAAATATCAGAAAATCACTATACTATGTCTGAAATTCTTCTATGTAGTTAAAAAATATAACTCTTATTCAAATATTCAAATCAATTAATATGGTTTTAGAGGCTTACGTATTATTTTTCTCAGCATATGGTCCTTGACTGCATTTCAGAACCTCATCTCCTACCAGATTATAGTCTAGCCCAGTGGCTCTCAACTCTTGTTGTATATCAGAACTACTTAAAAGGCGGGTTTCAAATGTTGCCCTAGAGTTATTAAATCAGAGTCTCAGCATGGGAGCAGCCAAGGATGTACACTTTGAAAAAGCACCACTGGGGCTGGGCACGGGGCCAGGGATGGTGGCTCAGGCCTGTAATCCCAGCACTTTGGGAGGCTGAGGCAGGTGGATCACTTGAAGTCAGAGGTTTGAGACCAGCCTGATCAACATGGTGAAACCCCATTTCTACTAAAAATACAAAAATTAGCCAGGTGTGGTAGAGCATGCCTGTATTCCCAGCTACTCAGGAGACTGAGGCAGGAGAATGGCTTGAACCTTGGAGGTTGCAGTGAGCCGAGATCACACCACTGCACTCCAGCCTGGGCTACAGAGCAAGACTCCATCTCAAAAACAAAACACAAAGAAAAAGGAAAAGCACCACTGGCAATTAAGATGCTCAGTGAGTATAGAATCACTGCTCCAGCCCTACAATTCTACTTCATGTTCCTCGAACATGACAGGCTCTAACATGGAGGTCAGCCAACCATGGCCCAAAGCCCAAACTCCAGCTCAATACCTGGTTTTGTAAAGAAATTTTTTACCGGAATACAACTATAGCCATTTGTTTATGCTTTGTCTATAGCTGCTTTCATACTACAATGACAACACTGAGTACTCTTGACACAGACCATATGACCTGTAAAATCTAAAATATTTACAGTCTAGCCCTCTACAATAAAAGTTTGCTGACTTCTGTTCTATTTCTGCTCTGCATCTTTGCACTTTTCCTCAAACTCTGCTCCTATCTTGGCAAGCTCATGTCCATCCTTCAAATCAGCATCATCTCTGCAAATCCTGAACTTAGGCCCCTTTATATTTTTTCAACACCCTCTGTACTTTCCCCTATTATATGACTCATTATTCTTTCTTCTACGATGTCTGTTTAATTACTGCCTCCCTGACTAGATGGCACGCTCTCTCAGGACAACACTCTGAGTGTCTTATTCACTATAGTGTCTGCTTCACTGTATGCAGATATTAAAATTTATTCAATGAATATCTCCCCCCACCCCCACCGCACACGTTTTCTCATTTTGTTAGATTTCTCAATGTTCTGGTCTGTTAAGGGAATTCTGAGTCCAAATTCTTTCAGGGTATTTTTATTGCACCCTGTTGTCTCATCCATGCATTTCAGATACATACAATTTGAGTTCTTCTCCATATCACACACACATAATGTTGAAAGTGACAGGGCTGAGAATAAAGTCCTGAAAGGACACACACAAACACACACCCTCCGCCACCTGCCTGCATATTGCTATCAATCCATTAAATCAGCAGGCTTTGACTAAGACTCTAATTGTACTATTATGTAGCCTACATTTTCTATCTTGTTTAGAAGGATTTTATGAGAGCTTCCACTTCTATGAACCTTTCCTTACATGGCACCACCTCTATCCAGGCAGGACTGAACTAATCACTCCTCCATCTTTCTCACAACTGAACCTTTTCTCATTTTGCCACACTGTATTATAGTAATTTGTTTAGAAGTCTGTATCTGCTACAAGCCCAAGCTCTCTTAGAGGACAGAAACTCACCTAAATTAACTAGAATCCCACACCCTAGCACAATGCCCAAAATTTAGTTGTTACTTAAAAAAAATTACTAAACACATATCTTACAATTCAGACGCATTAAATGTATGGAATTTCCTATTTCCGCCATCTAAAAATTCTTTTAAAAATACCCTTACCTGTATTCAATTAGGAAAAGAGAAAGTCAAATTGTCTCTATTTGCAGATGACATGATTGTATATTTAGAAGACCCCATTTTCTCAGCCCAAAATCACCTTAAACTGATAAGCAACTTCAGCAAAGTCTCAAGATATAAAATGAATGAGCAGAAATCACAAACATTCCTATATACCAATAACAGACAAACAGAGAGCCAAATCAAAAGGAAACTCCCATTCACAATTGCTACAAAGAGAATAAAACACCTAGGAATACAACTAACAAAGGATGTAAAGGACCTCTTAAAGGAGAACTACAAACCATTGCTCAATGAAATAAGAGAGGACACAAACAGATGGAAAAACATTCCATGCTCATGATTGGGAAGAATCACCATCATGATTCTAGGCAAAACCTAGGCAAAACCATCATGAAAATGGCCATATTGCCCAAAGTAATTTATAGATTCAACACTATTCCCATCAAGCTACCAATGACCTTCTTCACAGCACTGGAAAAAACCACTTCAAACTTCATATGGAACCAAAAAAGAGCCTGCAGGGCCAAAACAATCCTAAGCAAAAAGAACGAAGCTGGAGGCATCATGCTGCCTGATTCAAACTATACTACAAGGCCACAGTAATCAAACAGCATGGTACTGGTACCAAAACAGAGACACAGACCAATGGAACAGAATAGAGGCCTCAGAGGCAACACCACACATCTACAATTATCTGCTGTTTGACAAACCTGACAAAAACAAGCAATGGGGAAAGGATTACCTATTTAATAAATGGTGTTGGGAAAACTGGCTAGCAATGTGCAGAAAGCAGAAACTGGACCCCTTCCTGATACCTTACACTAAAATTAACTCCAGATGGATTAAAGATCTAAACATAAGACCTAACACCATAAAAACCCTAGAAGAAAACCTAGGCAAAACCATTCAGGACATAGGCATAGGCAAGGACTTCGTGGTTAAAACACCAAAAGCAATGGCAACAAAAGCCAAAATAGACAAATGGGATTGAATTAAATTTCACAGCTTCTGTACAGCAAAAAAAAAAAAACAAAAACAAAAACAAAAAACAATCATTAGAGAAAATCGGCAACCAACAGAATGGGAAAAAATGTTTACAATCTACCCATCTGACAAAGGGCTAATATCCAGACTCAACAAAGGGCTAATATCCAGAATCCACAAAGAACTAAAACAGATTTACAAGAAAAAAACAAACAAACCCATTCAACAGTGGGCAAAGGATATGAACAGACACTTCACAAAAGAAGACATATATGAGGCCAACAAACATATGAAAAAATGCTCATCATCACTGGGCATTAGAGAAATACAAATCAAAACCACATTGAGATACCATCTCACGCCAGTTAGAATAGCGATCATTAAAAAATCTGGAGACAACAGATGCTGGAGAGGATGTGGAGAAATAGGAACACTTTTACACCGTTGGTGGGAGTGTAAATTAGTTCAACCATTGTGGAAGACAGTGTGGCAATTCCTCAGGGACCTAGAAATAGAAATTCCATTTGACCCAGCAATCCCATTACTGGTTATATACCCAAAGGATTATAAATTGTTCCATTATAAAGACACATGCACAATATGTTCACTGTGGCACTGTTTACAATAGCAAAGACTTGTAACCCACCCAAATGTCCATCAAGGATAGACTGGATAAAGAAAATGTGGCACATATACACCATGGAATACTATGCAGCCATAAAAAACGATGAGTTCGTGTCCTTCATAGGGACATGGATGAATCTGAAAACCATCATTCTCAGCAGACTGTCACAAGAACAGAAAACCAACCACCACATGTTCTCACTCACAGGTGGGTGTTGAAGAATGAGAACAAGTGGACAAAAGGAGGGGAGCATCACACATTGCAGTCAGTTGGTGGGGGCTGGGGAAGGGACAGTGGGGGGTAGAGAGGGTGGGGAGGGATAACATGGGGAAAAATACCAGATATAGGTGATGGGGGGATGAAGGCAGCAAACCACCTTGCCATATATGTACCTATGCAACAATCCTGCATGATCTGCACATGTGCCCCAGAACCTAAAGTAAAATAAAAAGAAATATCCTTACCTGTAGCAAAAAGGAAACAGCGTAATTCAAGAAAGAAGGATGATGGACTACATTTAAACTCTTTTTATATTCAGCCACTCCAGTATTTTCTAGGATTTTGGGGTCAATATATATTCCTTTCTCAAAGGGTTTGGAGGTCCACAGGCAACCAACCATGGATGTCAAATAGTGATTAAATTCTTGATAAGTCTTGCTGCTGAAATTGAACTCCGATTTTGTCTAATGGGAGAGAAATAAAAAATTGTCAGTATCACCTGTTATCTCTTTCTTTCTTATTCCCACCAGGTCATGTATATCTAGACTTAATTTTTAAACAACAGTGATTTAACAGAGTTTTCTCATTCGTACCTTTTGTACCAACTCATTTTTCTTTGCAGCAGTCAAATTTTTATGATACCTAACAGAAAAAACAAACAGAATGAAACATGTAATATGCCTTTTAATATAATGCCTTTGAAGTGGTAAAAATAAACAAAAACATATATTTTAAATGTAAATATCTGCAAATGTGCATATATACAAATATCCAGTTGTGTAGTTAAGGATTTTATCCTTTTGTGATACATTCTCCTCAAGTGAAAATTAAGAGCGGCTCAATAAGTGGTTCACTTAAGATGTGTACTTGATGGCCGGGCGCGGTGGCTCACACCTATAATCCCAGCACTTTGGGAGGCCGAGGCGGGTGGATCATGAGGTCAAGAGATCGAGACCATCCTGGTCAACAAGGTGAGAACCCGTCTCCACTAAAAATACAAAAATTAGCTGGGCATGGTGGCCCGTGCCTAAAGTCCCAGCTACTTGGGAGGCTGAGGCAGGAGAACTGCTTGAACCCAGGAGGCGGAGGTCACCGTGAGCCGAGATCATGCCATTACACTCCAGCCTGGGTAACAAGAGCAAAACTCCGTCTCAAAAAAAAAAAAAAAAAGATGTGCACCTGACTAAGTAAAAAATGAACAATGAAAAATGCTTTCAACGTTTCACTATTAAAAATTTAATAGAATTCTCACTCATAAGTGGGAGTTAAACAATGAGAACACATGGACACAGGGAGGAGAACATCACACACTGGGGCCTGTCAGGGGGTGAAGGACAAGGGGAGGGAGCACATTAGGAGCAATACCTAATGCATACATACAGGACTTAAAACCTAGATGATGGGTTGATGGGTGCAGCAAACCACCATGGCACATGTATACCTATGTAACAAACCTGCATGTTCTGTGCATGTATCCCAGAACTTAAAGTAAAATTTAAAAAAATAATAATAATAGAGGCTCAAAAGCAGTCAGTCACTGATATAGAACATATTTTCCTAATGTTAAAAAAAAAGGTACAGCAGAAAGGATAAAGGGGAAATTTAGAAATATGTTCTTCTTGTCAGAGAACTATTAACAACTAACAAGTTTTTAAACATTTCAACCTTGACATAGTTCTACAAGTTATGCCAACAAGGTGTATACTTAGCTGGGCATGGTGGCTCACACCTCTAATCCCAGCACTTTATGAGGCCAAGACAGGTGGATCACCTGAGGTCAGGAGTTAAAGACCAGCCTGGCCAACATGGTAAAACCCCGTCTCTACAAAAAAGTTCAAAAAATTAGCCAGGCGTGGTGGCAAGTGTCTATAATCCCAGCTACTAAGGAGGCTGAGGCACGAGAATTACTTGAACCCAGGAGGCGGAGGTTACACTGAGCCGAGATCACGCCATTGCACTCCAGGGTAACAAGAGCAAACCCCATCTCAAAAAAAAAAAAAAAAAAGTGTATACTTATGGACTGAAAAGAGTAATTTCAGTCCATACGTGAAATAATTAGAGGAGACTAGAAATAACACAGCTTCACATAATTGGCAATAGCTCCCCTTATCTCCCAGAAACTGTATTTATCAGAGAAGCTACAAACACTTAAAGCAATTGTCATCAAACAACTAATTTTTCCTGAAGACACCAACAAGAATGAACACTGCTGAGTGCAACAGTACCACTGCACAACAGGTCCTCAACTATGACTTTTTTTTATTCCATAACCACAGCAGTGGAGGATTTAAAAACAACACAGCTATCATAGCCCCATATCAGAAGGTCATGTCCAAAAGCAAGCCACATTTCCGATTTCCAGAGGCCCTGGCAGAAAATGAGTAGGAATATTTATTGTATTATAGCTGAAAAATGAAGAGAGAATTATAATATACTATTTTATAAAATGGTAAAAAGCTTTTGTACCTGTGCATAATAAAACACAGCTGGTTCAGGATGCTGGCATCCAGGCTGAGGAGTGCAGAATAGAAGATCCCAGGAGGAAACAGCACCACTAATGGAAGGTTATAATTTATATATATGTCACACACCTTTGAGAAAGAATGATAACATCAGTATATAGAGTATTCCCCAGAACTCTTCAACCAAGTTCACCCAAAGAATCATCAGTATAAGATAAGCAATAATACAATATTAGCTTTGGACATGTCTGACTCCTAAATAAACAGGTAACTACAAGCTTGCTTAAAATATACTTCGCCAAATATCAACCATACTATAGAGGATTATTTCTATAAGGCCATTATTTAAATTTTTCATTTTTTCTGGGGAAAGGTCTTAAAGTTAGGGGAACAGGGTAGAAGAATGAAGTATTTCTTTCTCCTTAAGTCCCATAATACTTACTTATCATATGAGTTAGCTGTCAACCTAGAAAACAAAGGACCATGCTTCTAAGCAAATGCAAAATACAAGCAACTAGGTATTAGTAAATAGAGGAAGCTGGGAAAAGTGAGACTATAATGAATAACTTCATGGATAATATTAAGTTGGCACAAAAGTAATTGCGGTTTTTGCTATTATTTTCAATGGCAAAAACCGCAATTACTTTTGCGCCAATCTATAGTTCTGTCCAAGTCATATACTGTAAAACAATAAAAGGGTACAAGGTACCAAAAAAAGTAAGGCAGTTGAAAGGTAGAAATGGACATCTGTAGAAACAAGATATTTTTGGTTTCTGCCAGGGGTTGGGAATGAGATGAACAAAAAGTAATGCTAACAATAGACTTCTGTTTAGGGCCAGTATTAACACAGGTCAATGTAGTGGTACCTGGACCTAAAAAACAGCCAGCATTTAGTACAGTCTAGTGCCTTTGGTGATTAAAAACAAAAATGGAAAAAAAAAACAACAGCATTTAGGCCGAGCGTGGTGGCTTATGCCTGTAATCCCAGCACTTTGGGAGGCCAAGTCAGGTGGATCACGAGGTCAGGAGTTCAAGACCAGCCAGGCCAACATGGTGAAACCCTGTCTCTACTAAAAATACAAAAATGAGCTGCAGTTGGTGGTGGGCACCTACAATCCTAGCTACTTGGGGGGCTGAGGCAGGGAACTAAACCTGGGAGATGGGGATTTCAGTGAGCTGGGATCGTGCCACTCCACTCCAGCCTGGGCAACAGAGCGAGACTCTGTCTCGAGGAAAAAAAAAAAAGTATTTGTTTTTCCACTTTGTTTATGAAAGTCGGCTATTCTGTCGAGAAAATAATCATGAACTTCAAAATGTGAGGTTATTTTAACAATGCTAATAAGATCATAGCCCACCTTAATGGTTTCGCATAAAATTTAAATAGTAAGTCAATAAAGTGGATAGCCTTCACAAAAATCCAAATGGGGAAAATGTAATGTGTACTACCTTCTCATAGAAATCCAAAATAAAGTGCAGCAAGAAAGTACTGTTGCTCTCCAAGCGCATTGCAGTAGTGGACAGGCACCCTACATAGTGGATCAGTTTAGACACAGAGTTCATGGATCCACCCAAAGTTGTCTCTCTGCAATAAGAAACCATTAACATTCAGGTACAGAGTAGTAAAAGTGCTCACAATTCCAACGCTAAAGCTGAAAAAATATAAAGCAAAAAGTTGGTGAATATTTTAAACACTTTCAGTGCTCCAATGTATAATTCACTTTTTAGAAAAATCACAGTGATTAATCATAAAACTACACTTAGCCCTCCAGAGAACCATTAAGATGAATTCATAAAACATTCTAAGCAACCAGACTCTACTAGTAAATACCAGAGAAATAAGGTAATATGCTCCAAGCAGATATAAAAATTCTCAAGTGAGAGATATAAAAACCACTAGAAAAATAGGTATTCCATTAATAGTTAAGGGGAAAAAAGTTCACATAAAAGTGACATGAAAAATTCAGAGCAGGACACAGTGGCTCATACCTGTAATTCCAGCACTTAGGGAGGCCAAAGTGGGCAGATCTCTTGAATCCAGAAGTTTGAGACCAGCCTGGGCAACATGGCAAAAGCCCATCTTTACAAAAAATACAAAAATTTGCTGGGGTGGTGGCACACGCCTGTAGTTCCAGCTACTTAAGAGGCTGAGGAGGGAGGATCACTTGAGCCCAGGAGGCATATGCTGCAGTCAGGGACACTGCACCACTGCACTTTAGCCTGAGCAAAAGAGTAAGATTCTGTTTCAAAAAAAAAAATCAGTCCAGATGCAGTGGCTCATGCCTGTAATCCACCACTTTGGGAGGCTGAGGCAGGCAGATCACTTGAGGTCAGGAATTCAAGACCAGCCTAGCCAACATGGTGAAACCCTGTCTCTACTAAAAATATAAAAATTAGCCAGGCATGGTGGTGGGCACCTATAATCCCAGCTACTCAGGATGCTGAGGCAGGAGAATCACTTCAGGAGGTGGAGGCTGCAGTGAGCCGAGATCATGCCACTGCACTCCAGCCTGGACAACAGAGCAAGACCCTGTCTAAAAAAATTCAGCATAAAATGTGAAAATGGACAAAATTATACAGTAAACTAGAAAAAATGAGAACTAGTTTATCCCAACCAAGTCAAAAGTGGTTTAAGGAATAAACATTAAAATGACTTTAGGAATCATTTCCTATGCTGTCAGTAACACTGCAACACAGATTGAAGGAAACCTACAGTACACAAATCAAAACTCAGTTTTGCCTGAATTTCCTAGCTAAAATGCTATTAAACATATTTTCACTTGAATTCGGCCGGGTGCAGTGGCTCATGCCTGTAATTCCAGCACTTTGGGAGGTTGAGGAAGGCAGATCACCTGAGGTCAGGAGTTTAAGACCAGCCTGGCCAATATGGTGAAACCCCGTCTCTACTAAATATACAAAAATTAGCCAGGTGTGATAGTGCACACCTGTAATCCCAGGAACTCAGTAGGCTGAGGCAGGAGAATCCCTTGAGCCTGGGAGGTGGAGGTTGCAGTGAGCCAAGATTGTACCACCGTATTCCAGCCTCGCCTGGGTGAAAGAGACTTCATCTCAAAAAAAAAAAAAAAAAAAAAGCAAAAGCAAAAGAAATATATATATTTTTTCACTTGAATTCAATTCAATCCTAAAAGAGAATTAGCAAATTTTTTTTGTATCTTTTATTCTTCTAGTAAAAAAAAAACAGATCTGGGTATTTCATATTCTCCCTGGATCAACGAATGGAGTCTCTTACAGCACATATGGGTATTAGTTCAATCCATCCACCTACTTTCCCCTGTCCTTCAATGCAATGTTAAATGGAGTAGGAAAAGACTTAGAAATTTGAATTCATAGCTTTACCCTCCTATCTAGTTAGTCAACAATGGTTATGCATAAGGAAAAGAACATGTATAATCTTAGTTTCAGAGATGATGATGACTCTACTACTGCCCACCACCATGATAGTTCAGTGCCAGGGTAATCAATGAAGGATCAGGAGACCATTCAAATAGGCAAGCATCTACACATAGCCAGCTGGCTATTTGCAAAACTGTATCTTTTTTTTTTTTTTTTTGAGGAGTCTTGCTCTGTCACCCAGGCTAGAGTGCAGTGGTGTGATTTCAACTCACTGCAACCTCCTTCTCCCAGGTTCAAGCAATTCTCATGCCTCAGCCTCCTGAGTAGCTGGGATTACAGGCGTGTGCCACCATGCCCAGCTAATTTTTATACTTTTACTAGAGACAAGGTTTCACCATGTTGGCCAGGCTGATCTCGAACTCCTGACCTCAAGTGATAGGCTGGCCTCGGCCTCCCAAAGTGGTGAGATTACAGGCAGTAACTGTATCTTAACTATGAATTTTGCTAACACTTGGCAACTGTGTCTGAAATAATTTGAAACAATGTTGATTGCTCAGAACAGCCTCTTTTGAAGTATTTCTCCACAAGACACTATTGGCATTTTGTATGAAACAATTCACTGTTGAGGACTGCCTCCTACTCCCCACCCACTGGAGCACATTGAGCATCCCCATCTCCCACATACTAAATGATGGTTGTAACCTCTTCCCAGTCACTGTGACAACCAGAAATGCCTCCCTTCGAGAACCACTGTTAAGAAGTTTTCTTGCCTTCTTTTATGATATATAACTACAATTTAATACCTTTTTGACAGTGATATGGCATATGGCCACATGATAGAAACAGGGCATTACACCTGTATTTACTAAATAAAGAAGTATTGAAAACTTGAGCTATAGTATATAATGCCAAATACTGATATGACAAGCAAAATTATCTACATGTATGTCTAACAAAATTATCTACATGTATTTAAGAATTTTAGAAAGCAGAATTCCTTTTTAAATTGTTTCCCTTAACTTATGATGCTAATAAAAGAGGAATCCTAAGATTTTTGGAAAGATAGTACAGAAATTGTAAGGCAGCTATTTCAGGGGTACCGGAGACTTACATTGCAAATTGGTCAAAGATTATAGATGCAAACATAACTATTTTGTTAAATCTCTTGCTTATCTGGGGAACAGGGAGTAAATAAATATGGGTCCAGGCTCAGTAGCCCACAGAGAGGAATGCACGTTAGGAAGAACCACAAGTAAAAGAGAGGAATTTCGGGCTGGATGTGGTGGTTCATACCTGTGATCTCAATACTTTGAGAGGCCAAGGCAGGAGGATAGCTTGAGCCTAGGGGTTCAAGACCAACCTGGACAACACAGTGAGACCATGTCTCTATAAAAAATTAAAAAATTAGCCAGGCATGGTGGTGCACGCTTGTGGTCACAGCTACTCAGGGGCTGAGGTGGGAGGATTGCTTGAGCTTGGGAGGTCGAGGCTGCAGTGAGCTAAGACTGCATCACTGTACTCCTGGGAGACAGAGCAAGATCCTTTCTCCAAATAAAAAAAAAAAGTCAGGGGGGAGTAATTTCAAACCTACTATTCTTAATATAACTTAGGTAGAAGAGATTAAATATTTAAATGGAGTTTCTTTATAATAGTGGTTCTCAAACTTCAGCTTGCACCAGAATTACGGTGGTGTTAAAACAGATTACTAGGATCTAGGGCAAGACCTGAGATTTGCATCTCTAACAAGTTTCCAGGTTATACTGATGATCCAAGGACCATATTTTGAGAAGCACAGCTTTACAAGACGTTTACTACCCACTAACACTCCATTTCCTTCTAAAAGTGATCAGATGTATATGGAAACAATGTAATAAGGAATAGGAAGAATTAAAAACAATTTTCCAGGCCTTAAGAAGCTTCTATTCTCTATTCTCCTAACAAAGTAGGAAACCACTATAGGGATAAGAACATACAGAAAAATAAGTCTAGGCTGAACTTTCAACCAAACTAACCACCAGCTATTTATAACTGAAGCTAAGGGGAATTTGAACATTGGTTAGATATTCGAAGATATTAAGAACTATTGGTCAGGCATGGTGGCTCCTGCTTGTGATCCCAGCACTTTAGGAGGCCAAGGAGGGTGGATCACTTGAGGTCACATGTTCAAGACCAACCTGGCCAACATGGCGAAACTGTCTACTAAAAACACAAAAATCAGCTGGGTATGGTGGCACGTGCCAATAGTCCCAGCTACTTGGGAGGCCAAAACAGGAGAATTGTTTGAACCCAGGAGGCAGAGGTTGCAGTGAACTATTATCACTCTACTGCACTCCAGCCTAGGCAAAAGTGAGACTCTGTCTCAAAAAAAAAGAACTACTAATTTTTTAGGTGTCATAATGGTATCATTTTTTACAGTTGAAACAGAAACTGAGTTTTGCTTAAAAATAATTGAAGAGGGCATGGTGGCTCACGCCTATAATCCCAGCACTTTGGGAGGCCCAGGCGGGTGGATCACAAGATCAAGAGATCGAGACCATCCTGGTCAACATGGTGAAACCCCGTCTCTACTAAAAATACAAAAATTAGCTGGGCATAGTGGTACACACCTGTAGTCCCAGCTACTCAGGAGGCTGAGACAGGAGAATTGCTTGAACCCAGAAGGCGGAGGTTACAGTGAACCGAGATTGCGCCATTGCACTCCAGCCTGGGTAACAAGAGTGAAACTCTGTCTCAAAAAATAATAATAATAATAATAATAATTGACGAGATAAATCTTAATGTTTTAGTTAACAAAAAAAATTAAAGAGAAATGTGAAAGGTACTTAGATGAAAAAAGGTTAACCAAGAATTGATAACTGTTGAAAATGGGTAATGGGCTCAGAACAGTAACACTGCAGTATTTTCTCTACTTTTGACTCAATTTGTAATTTTCTATAATATAGTTCTTCAACTGCTGAAAATAATGTGACTGATAATAGAATTTAGGAGAAGCAGCCAAGCACAGTGGCTCACACCTGTAATCCCAGCACTTTGGGAGGCCAAGAGTTTGAGACCATCCTGCCGAACAAGGTGAAACCCCATCTCTATTAAAAATACAAAAAAAAAAAACTTAGTCAGGAGTGGTGGCATGTGCCCGTAGTCCCAGCTACTCAGGAGGCTGAGGCGGAGAATCATTTGAAGCTGGGAGGCAGAGGTTGCAGTGAGCTGACATTGTGTCACTGCACTCTAGCCTGGGTGACAGAGCAAGACTCTGTCTCAAAAAAAAAAAAAGAATATAGGACAAGGCAAATATTTTTGGTAGAAAGAGGCAAAACAACCTGATTATGCAGTGCCTTAAAATTTAGTCTTTTACTTTTTTTATATAAATATAAGTGTCATACACCAGTTAACACAATAGTCTTTTATTTTGAAGGTAAAGCACACATTTAACAAAAATTTACGGCTTATATTTTAAAACTCAAGTTAAAATAAATTAACGGATATAACGAAAATACAGCTTAGAAACATAAAAACAAAGCTGCACAGCAAAATTGCCTTAGAGATTTTTCTAGCCATCATGAAAGTTGGCTTTACATATAAGAATATATTTTATAAAATTAGTTAAACTGAACAGAAGTCAAAGTCTAATCTCAGCTTGCTAGTGTTTTGCTCTATTAACTCTTGAAGTCACTTAGCAGATAAGGGGTTGCTTTTTGATTTACATAACAGAAACTTAGAGAATTAACCTTCCTCTCAGGATTGTGGGGGAAGAGTGTAAAGTCACAAAAAAGTCTTCTAGAAAGTACTACTAAGCATTTACATGAAAAAATTAGGTTTCATGCCACACTATTAAACATATGCAAACATCTGTATACAGATCGTCTCTTGTGGAAGACTGTTAGATAACTCACAGAGGACTGTTTGTAACAGGTTTCATGTGAATGTCCATAGAAAGCCACAACAGCCAATTCTGCAGTAGCTCTTTCAGACTCTGAAGAACACTACACTGAAGAGGACAAAACAAAACAAAATCATGAAATCATTCAGACATAACAGTGTTCAGAAATAACAGAGGCTTAGAGATGGAAAGGATCAAGGAGATGATCACATCCAATTTGGAACCCAACAGCTGTTTCTAAAACGTGATCAGTCTCCAGGAGACAGACAAATGCCAAGTACAAGTTTATTTTGCCATTTTCTCTACAAGAAACATACCTCAGCAGGACTGCCCAACTTATCAGCCTAGGAATAGACTTTTCTCTAAATTAAATTCATTTATAACAAATATTACAGCATCGAATAAAAACAGCATCTTTATCTACCCCTCTCAGAGATCTTTAGAAGTTGCTACAGATATGAGTTCCTCTCCCTTTTTACCTTATGGTCTACAGTTACAATTTTCCGCCTTTTTTGACGGTCACAAAAATTTATCTTATCTTCTGTGACTTTGAAAAACAAGGAATTCTAGTCTTTCTTTTCTTTTTTTTTTTCCAGAGATGGGGTCTCACTATGTTGCCCAGGTTGGAGTGCAGTGGCTATTCACAGGCGCGATCCCACTACTGATCAGCACGGGAGTTTTGACCTGCTCCGGTTCACCCCTCCTTAGGCAACCTGGTGGTCCCCCGCTCCTGGGAGATCATCATATTGATGCCGAACTTGGTGCAGACACCCGATTGGCATAGCGCACCACAGCCCAGAACTCCTGGGCTCAAGTGATCCTCCCACCTCAGCCCCCCGAGTAGCTGGGACTACAGGCACGTGCCACCGTGCCCAGCTCTAGTCTTTCTTTTCTCAGGCCTTGCCTTGATTTTCCAAGCCTCAGTCACATACAAAAACATACAATGATCACAGAAATTAATCCATGGCATTTATGATGATAAACCATAATATCTATAAATTTGAAAGCAATCCATATCATCCCAAAATCTAATACAACGAACCTTTCTTAAAAAACATTCTTAGTAAATAATGCCCTACTGATTTCAGTATTTCTAGTGATAGAGTGCTCACTGCTACTTCACAAAACAGTTCAATTAATATTTTTGTTGACAACTTGCATTGAGGTTAGAAGTAGTAGTTGAAAGCAACTCTGGAATCATCTAAGACAATAGTCTACTTCAGTGTCAACCATGGAATTTTATCATTTGAAAAGATATTCAACATTATATTATCATTTTTAAATTTTTATTTTTAATTTTTGTGGGTACACAGTATATATATACCATGTCATGTTTAGAAAACAAAAATCTTGGCCAAACACAGTGGCTCATGCCTGTAATCCCAGCACTTTGGGAAGCTGAGGTGGGCAAATCCCTTGAGCCCAGGAGACTGAGATCAGCCTAGGCAACACGGCAAAACTCTCTCTCTACTAAAAACATAAAAATTAATCAAGTGCCGGGAGCGGTGGCTCAAGCCTGTAATCCCAGCACTTTGGGAGGCCAAAGCGGGTGGATCACGAGGTCAAGAGATTGAGACCATCCTGGTCAACATGGTGAAACCCCGTCTCTACTAAAAATACAAAAAATTAGCTGGGCATGGTGGCATGTGCCTGTAATCCCAGCTACTCAGGAGGCTGAGGCAGGAGAATTGCCTGAACCCAGGAGGCGGAGGTTGCAGTGAGCCGAGATCACGCCATTGCACTCCAGCCTGGGTAACAAGAGCGAAACTCCGTCTCAAAAAAAAAAAATTAATTAAGCATGGTGGCATGTGCCTGTAGTCCCAGCTACTCAGGAGGCTGAGCTAGGAGGATAGTTTGAGCTTAGGAAGCAGAGGTTGCAGTGAGCCAAGATCGCACCACTGCACACCAGCCTGAGTAACAGAATGAGATCCCATCTCAAAAAAACAAAAGAAAGGTATGAGGTGGGTGGCTCACACTTGTAATCCCAGCACTTTGGGAGGCTAAGGTGGGTGGATCACTTGAGGCCAGGAGTTCAAGATCAGCTTGACCAACATGGCGAAACCCCGTCTCTACTAAATATACAAAAATTGGCCAGGCATGGTGGTGAGCACCTGTAATCCCAGCTACTCAGGAGGCAGAGGCAGGAGAATCACTTGAACCCGTAAGGCAGAGATTGCAGTGAGCAGAGATCGCCCCATTGCACTCCAGCCTGTGCAACAAGAATGAAACTCCATCGAGAGAGAGAGAGAGAGAGAGAGAGGAGAGAGAGAGAGAGAGAGAGAGAGAGAGAGAGAGAGAGAGAGACAGAGAGACAGAGAGAGAGAGAGAGAGAGAGAGAGAGGGAGGGAGGGAGGGAGGGAGGGAGGGAGGGAGGGAAGGTAGGTATGAGGTTTTTATGTTCATGATGATAAGAGGACACAGGTTTTTTTATTTTCTTCTTTTTTTTTTGAGACAGGATCACACTCCATTGCCCAAACTGGAGTGCAGTGATGTGATCTTACCTCACTGCAACCTTTGCCTCCCAGGCTCAAGCAATTCTCTGGCCTCGGCCTCCAAAGTAGCTGGAGTTACAAGTACGTGTTACTACCTCCAGGCTGATTTTTGTATTTTTAGTAGAGATGGGGTTTCACAATGTTGAACAGGCTGGTCTCGAACTCCTGACCTCAAATGATCCACCCGCCTCAGCCTCCCAAAGTGACGGGATTACAGGCGTGAGCCACTGCACTCGGCCAGTTTATGCTTTCTAAAAACAAGACTGAGAAACACAGCTCTACCCGATATGTGAACCTTTTCTACATAAATATCCTGAATAGATAGCCATTAATCCTCTGCCTGACCTGTTAAGAAATATATCACCTCTGAAAGTCCTTTATTCCATCATGAGTCTGCTCTAACTGTTACGAGATACTGCCCTATATTTGCCTCTGTTTCTTGCAGCTACACAGAGATCTCCTTTCATGTGACAATCCTTCAAATATTGAAAGGGAACCAGAAAACCTTAGTCTTTTTTCCTCCAGGCAAAATATCCCAAGTTCATTTGCTATCTCAAGTTGGAAAACTTCAAGTCATCTTGCATCATATACACTTTATCTTCAGTCACCATATCCTATCATTTTTTTTTTCTTCAAAATGTCCTACTTTTTCATTTTCTTCCCAATCCCACTATGACTACCCTAGACGGGGCCTTCACATCTTTGAGGTCATTTTATCCTCCTAGCTAGTCTCCTTTATTCTTGTATCATCTCCCAAACCCCAACACTTTCCCCATGGCTGCTAGACTCTTGTTATTTAAGTACGCCATCCACTGCATCCTCCTCCTTTCCAAGAACTTGCAGTGTACATCCCATTAGCTAAGTAACAGCACCTTTCTTTTCATCCAGTAATCTCACTCCTATATAGGTATGCCAAGGGAAGAAGTTTAAAATATATATATAATAAAGATGCTCAAGACTGTTATTTGACAAAAGAGACAAATTAGAAATAATAGAGGCCAGGTATAGTGGCTCATGCCTGTAATCCCAACACTTTGGGAGGCTGGGGTGGGAGGATCATTTGAAGCCAGAAGTTTGAGACCTGGGCAGAGTTGCCTGGGCAACATAGCAAGACCTTGTCTCTAAAAAAAATTTTAGGCCGGGGGCAGTGGCTCACACCTGTAATTCCAGCATTTTGGGAGGCCGAGTTGGGTGGATCATGAGGTCAAGAGATCGAGACCATCTTGGCCAACATGGTAAAACCACATCTCTAAAAATACAAAAATTAGCTGGGCGTAGCAGCGCATGCTGTAGTCCCAGCTACTCAGAAGGCTGAGGCAGGAGAATTGCTTGAACCTGGGAGGCAGAGATTGCAGTGAGCAAGATGGCACTACTGCACTTCAGCCTGGTGACAGAGCGAGACTCTGTCTCAGAAAAAAATTTTTTTTTAATTAGCCAGGTTTGGTGGCACATGCCTGTAGTCTCAGCTACTTGGGAGGCTGAGGTGGCAGAATCCCTTGAGCCCAGGAGTTCAAGGTTACAGCGAGCTATGATCATGCCACTGCACTCCAGCGTGGGCAACAGAACAAGATCCTGTCTCTAAAAAAACAGATAGAAAAATAATAATAAATTACTAAATAAATTATGGTGCTAAGGACTATGGTGCCACTATTAACAACATTATGATGACTATGAGGAAACACGAAAATTATTATGTATTCTGATTTTTAATTATGTATTTTGATTTTTATGTTAATTATGTATTCTGATTTTTAAATTTATGTTTACTATGTTTGCAACTATATGGAAAATCATAAATCAATAAGGAGAGATATTGAAAAATTAACATTCCAAAACAAATGTAACAACATTTGTGTGGATTTATGGGGCCTTTCCCATGCAAAATTCTTCAATGAGACCGAGCACAATGGCTCACGCCTGTAATCCGACCACTTTGGGAGGCTGAGGCAGGCAGGTCACCTGAGGTCGGGAGTTCGAGACCAGCCTGACCAACATGGAGAAACTCCGTCTCTACTAAAAATACAAAATTAGGTGGGTGTGATGGCACATGCCCATAATCCCAGCTACTTGGGAGGCTGAGGCAGGACAATCACTTGAACCCTGGAAGCTGAGGTTGTGGTGAGCCAAGATTACACCATTGCACTCCAGCCTGGGTAACAAAGAACGAAACTCCATCTCAAGAAAAAAAAAAAATTCTTCGATGAAAATAAGTTGTTTGCTGATAGGAATAACTGACCAGGACCAAACAAAACACACTGAAAATGTGAAAATATTTTAATAGACTTTAAAAATACTATTCAAGTATTAGACTAAGCTGGGTAATCAAGCTATACAATAAGGCAATAACTAGCTACTACAGGCCTCGGAAACTGATGTTTAACTAATTCTACCATATTTCACATTCCTGTTACCCTTAGTCACTTCCCAATATGTAACCCCCTTTAGTCACTTTTTTCCCTGTCTCTATGCTTGTCCCCTTTCATTGATCCTGTCCTTTCCAAACCTCTCAATTGCAGTATCCAGAACCTCTGTTCTGTAGTAACCTAAACATACACCTTCATATTCTACAAAGTATGATTTCTCTGTCTTCTTACCTTAATCATATCCTAGCTCTCCTTCACCAACAAACCAGGTCACTGCTTCCTCTGAATACATTTCCATATCCCACCTTAACAACTAGGTGTAAGCACTGCCCTATACCAAGCTTCCCACTGCTAATGTGGAACAGAATATAAGCCCCTTCTTTGAGAAGGTAAATATAAAATCAAAAATCAATCCTACTTTAAGAAGGAAATCAGATTTAATTTAATAGATAACATACAGACCAGGCGCAGTGGCTCACACTTGTAATCCCAGCACTCTGGGAGGCTGAGGTGGGTGGATCACCTCAGGTCAGGAGTTCGTGACCAGCCTGGACAACATGGCAAAACACCATCTCTACTAAAAACTACAAAAAATTAGCCAGGCATGGTAGCAGGCATTTGTAATCCCAGCTACTCAGGAGACAGAGGCAGGAGAATCACTTGAACCTGCTAGGCTGAGGTTGCAGTGAGCTGAGATCATGCCACTGCACTCCAGCTTGGGTGACACAGCGAGGCTCCATCTTAAAAAGAAGAAAGGATAATATACAGAAATCAAATGGATCTTATATTTAATCAGGTGCCACAGGAAAAAAACTGCCTTGTTTGCTGGGTGCGGTGGCTCATTCCTGTAATCCCAGCACTTTGGGAGGCCGAGGCGGGCAGATCACAAGGTCAAGAGATTGAGACCACCCTGGCCATGGTGAAACCCCATCTCTACTAAAAATACAAAAATTAGCCGGGCGTGGTGGCACGTGCCTATGGTCCCAGCTACTCAGGAGGCTGAGGCGGAAGAATTGCTTGAACCCAGGTGGAGGTTGCAGTGAGCCGAGATTGCGCCACTGCACTCCAGCCTGGCGACAGAGTAAGACTCCATCTCAAAAAAAAAAAATTGCCTTGTTTAAGTATGTTTACAAATAATCTGTGAGCTACAGAAAGAACCTCATTAGCCAAACTACTGCTAAAAGCTGAATTTGTTAGGCTAAGATCAAAGACACTATTTCTGGTTGCATTTTGTTACAGTTTTTCTCATGAGTTTGACTATCCCTTGCTTTTCTGAACACAGCATAAAAGCTCTCTTCAACCCTATTTCTAAACCATTATTCCTCCTTCCTCATGAAACCCTTTCTCCTTTGTTCATACTATCTAGCTACACTACCCTCTATTTTTTTTTATCTTCTCATATCTTTGCTGTCTATCACTTGGAAACTCATCAAGATTCATTGAGGACGTTAGAACTCTGCATCATATCCTGCCATCAACACCTCAGTTACACCAGTGTCCATGCAAATGATCTCCCCAACATTTCAGCTTCACAGTTCATTGACTTTGAATCAAATAACCTTCACCTTCATTCCACCTTAGTTACCTACTCCCACAGCCATACTATTGTGTCATAACCTGAACTGAACCACACAAAATTTTATTATTTTTTCTTTATTATAACTTCCTATTCCAGCTTTCTTACAGACTCAACTCCAATATAGTTACTCTTGTTTCTCAGCATCAGAGATACTCAATCCCTTAATTCCTTTTTTTGAGACGGAGTCTTGTTCTATCAGCCAGACTGGAGTGCAATGGTGCAATCTCGGCTCACTACAACCTCCACCTCCTGGGTTCAAGTGATTCTCCTGCCTCAGCCTCCCGAGTAGCTGGGATTACAGGCGTACACCACCACACCTGGCTAATTTTTATATTTTTAGTACAGATGGGGCTTCACCATGTTGGCCAGGCTGGTATCGAACCCCTGACCTCAAATGATCCACCTGTGTTGGTCTCCCAAAATGCTGGGAATTACAAGCGTGAGCCACCGCACCTGGCCAATTTCTTAATTTTTAACCTTCTTTTTCAGGTTTATTAGCTTTCTCCTGGCCTTATTTTCCTGTCTAGACTAGACCACAGCTGATCACAACTCTCTTGTACTCCATTCAACCAGCAAAACCCAAACTGATTCAATCTCATAATTGGCTTTCTCTTCTCCAATATCTAAATGGAAGAAAAACACAAAACTGCAAAGATTGGCACCATTCCAAATTTATGATTGCCAACTTCTGCTGGGTCCTTAATGACGCTCAGTAATTCTTTTACTTGTCTTTAACCAGCTCTTTATACTCACTGCTTGTTTTAAATAGCTACTGCCCTCCTGGAGTGACCTTCTACTCTGTCAAGCATGCTTCTCATTTAGAGAAATTTAACATTCTTAGGCACAAAGTACTTCAAGGTCTTGCTCTTTCTTCTAACTTTACAAATATATCTACCACTATCTGTGCATCCTCTCCCCAGTCTCAGAGGATAAATGGTGCCTCCCAATTCCTAACTACCCATTCAAGCAAATCTCCCTACCTAGTTTTAACCCAATACCTTCATATTTCTTCTGGAACCTTGTACCATCGATTATCCCCAATCTTTTCTCCATTTTCAACTTCTCCCTCTTCTCCACTGGCTCCTTCAACTCCATCTATAAACACACTCATATTTATCTCATTTTAGAGGCAACAAACAACTTCCCCTGGTTCACAGCCCCCTATAGCTCCTCTCCACAACTTTTTTTTTTGGTCAAAGATTTTTAAACATATTCTATACTCACTGTCTTGACTTTTCACTTACTCCTCAACCCACACAATCTGACTTCTACCTCCACACTCCACTGGAACTACTCACAAAGGAAGCCAAAACCTCTGTATTGTCAATTCTAAAAGAAACTTTTTTGTCCTTATCTTTCTGGACCTTCCTGGGATACTTGGCAACATTACTCCTTCATTCCTTTTTGATATTCTATATTCCCTTTGTTTCCTTGGAACTATTATTCTCCTGGTTCTTTTTATACCTCTGGCAATTTCTTCTTAAGATTCCTTCAGACTGTCCTCCTCCTTGGCTTGAGAATTAAATACTGTGTTCATTCCTCTGAGTTCTGTACTTAGCCTATGGTCTGCTCCCTTCCTTGCTTCCTTCCTCTCTCCACCCCCTCCCTCTCAAATATACGTGTGTATGAATGTGTATATGCATATTAGATTGAACCACAGCAAATTGCCAATCATTAACCATCTTTGACCTACAAAAAATGGCAATTTCCTATGGTCCAGCCTAATGTTTAAACAGCTCTTTAGCATGGAAAAATAAGAAAAGAAACAAATAACCCAATTAGAAGATTGAGAGAGAATTGCAAAAAAAAATTCAAACTTAAGTCTCTGAAAATTTATTAGCTGGGAAAACTGGTGTGGATGCCATGTGAATGATGATATTGGTCAGGATATATAAATTACAATTAACATAAATAGACCTCAAATCCAAGTTAATATGATAGAAATTAATCAAGTGCCATTCAATTATGACAAACACTAACCAGAACAACGTGTTTCCTGTCAATGTGGTCAACAGGAAGTGATTTAAGGTAAAAAAAAAAAAAAAGTTACAAAAGAAACATTACTTAATTGTCCCTCTTTTAGGATAGGAATTCTATAAGAAAGTGGCTCTCATCCAGGCACAGTGGCTCACACCTGTAATCCCAGCACTTTGGGAGGCTGAGGCAGGAGGATCACAAAGTCAAGAGTTTGAGACCATCCTGGCCAACATGGTGAAATCTTGTCTCTACTAAAAATACAAAACTTTGAAGTTTGAGGTAGATTGGAAAAAAAATACAAAACAGCTAGGCGTGGTGGTATGCACCTGTAGTCCCAGCTACTAGGGAGGCTGAGACGAGGAGAATCACTTGAACCTGGGAGGTAGAGGTTGGTTGCATTGAGCCAAGATCGCGCCACTGCACTCCAGCCAGGCAACAGAGTGAGACTCCGTCTAAAAACAAAACAAAACAAAAAAAAAAAAGAAGGTGGCTCTCAAACTCATTCAGGTAGAACTTCTGGAAGCCATATTGGTCTTCTTGGAGACCACCCCATAATAGTAATATATTATATATGAAGGTTGGAACAATTTTATTAGCAGAAAACAACTATTATTATAAATATAAAATATGAATGTTATGGGAAGTTTTGTTTGCTTTGATCACGACTGTATTCCCAGTGTCAAGAGGATATATAGTAGGTGCTCAAAATATATTTATAAAATGAATAAATGTATCTACAAAAACATAAACCACAACAATCAAACTATTTCTGTTTGTTTTTATTAGTATGCATTTGCCACTTGTTTGTTCACTATGTTATTTGCTACAAGTGGAAACACTATTTTGCAATTCTCTCGTTTCTCTCAGGAAAAGTATATGCAACACAGCCTTTAAAAAGGAACATTCTATGCATTAACTTTGAGTTGAGTGATGCAGCACCTCAACGCCCAGGTCCAAGAAAATCCTGTTATAAAACCATTGCTGTAATATCAGTTTGCAATTGTGTACTACTAGCAATAGAATAATACATCCTATGGAATCTAAGCAAGGCAAGTTTTTGTTACCTTAAAATAAATGGTTGATGTAAAGAAGAGCTGTGCTAGACGGTCAAAAAGAAGTGGTTTCACCTCTGGGAATCAAAAAAAAAATTATTCAAAATATTTTCAATCATAGCACATTGAATTAAATGACTCCAAATTTTCATGATACATACCAGAGAAGCTGCTAAAAGGAATCCAGCTCACAAGCTGAAGGAACTGTGACCGACAACAGAGGCCATCCCAGAGAGGAAGGCTCTTATACAGGAAAGCTTCACAAGAATAAAATCCCTCCTGTAACACAAGTGAATAGTAAATCCCTATATGGAGCTCTTCAGTCATAAAATTACGCTCTAAACAACCAGTTTATTTTATGCTATAGTTGCTTCACTCTTAGACTAATTTTTTGTCATCAATATATTAAAAGCCTTAGGTTAGGTGCCAGACTTCCTCAGAAAAAGGATGAGAAGATCAGTATTTGCATACATTACCATTTTTATCAAATACTTCTCAAATGCTATAAAACTTCATCAGTTGGAAAGAAGATTAACAGTTATAGAATTTTTAAAAATAAAATTTATTATCTTGGGGTACACACAGTAATTTGAACAGTCAATAAAATGTATACAATGTTATTATGTAACCAGGCTAGAAGTTCATTGGAGGTCATAGACCAAATCCCTACTCTGAGCAGCTCCATCTTTAGAGGCTTAATGTCTAGGTTGCTTATATTTCCACCAGAGTGAGGATCTGGGAATTCCCTTTTTTTTTCCTTTGTCACCTAAACCTTACATAGTAACATGCACCAGGACTCTATCCTAAGACCTTCATTTCATGACATGAATTATCTGGACAATGACATCCATATCACAGCTAAAACCACCACTTTTAACATGAGGGGTCCTACATCTGTATCTCTAGCCCAAATCTCATTCCTGAGGTCTAGACTCATTATTTTACTGCATACTAGATATGACCGCTTTGATGTCCCATAGGCATCTCTTAAGTTTTGAAACATCTTTCCTTCCAAGCCTGCTCCTCCTATATTCCTTTTCTCAGTGAGTGCCATCCATCTTCCCATGTAGGAAACATAAACATCAACCTAAATTGTTATCCTCACTACCATCGTGGATACCCAACTTCCAATTAAATGGTTTCACACCAAATCCCTAAAACTTGGGCTGGGTGTGGTGGCTCACACCTGTAATCCTAGCACTTTGGGTGGCCAAGGCAGAAGGAATGTTTAAGCCCAGGAGTTCGAGACCAGCCTGGACAATGTGGCAAACCCCCATTTTTATGAAAAAATGAAAAAAAAAAAACTAGCCAGGAGTGGTGGTGCACACCTGTATTTCTAGCTACTAGACCAAAGGGGGAGAATCAGGCTACAGTAAGCCATGATTGTGCCAGTGCACTCTAGCTTGGGCAACAGAACGAGACCTTGTCTCAAAAAAAAAAACAAAGAATTATTCCACAAACATTTATCAATCAAGCTGAACATCTATCCATGAAGAAAAGTTAGATAGTTTCTGCCTGCTGGGAGCTCATAATGTGTGGAAAAATGGGTGCTAAAAGTGTCACGATAGAGGTAAGCACAGGGAGCCATGGGAACACAGAACAAGACGCTAACCCACATTGGGGCAATAAATGAAGGCTTCTTGACAAATGAAGGTGCTAATACCTAAGCTGCAGCTTAAAATACAACTCAGGGTTACCCAGACCAAATTGTCCATTGGCTGGAACATATTTGATGCTCAAAAAATGTTGATTATAAGAACATAAGTAGTGAAGGCCGGGCACAGTGGCTCATGCCTGTAATCCCAGCACTTTGGGAGGCCAAGATAGGTGGATCACCTGAGATCAGGAGTTTGAGACCAGCCTGTCCAACATGATGACACCCTATCTCTTTATTAAAAAAAAAAAGGAAAAAAGAATATAAGTAGTGACCCTGTGAAATTTCATTACTGGCTAATTCAATTAACTGAATATATTTAATTACATCTTTAGTTTGTTCTCTAATTACAGGCTTTTCCCTTTTATTTGCATAATATAACATATTCTTTCTTGAAATCCAACGGTGCAAAGATAAATGTCCAACTCAGCTCTATTTATAATGAGTTACAAAATGAACAAATATTGTTTACAAAAGATATCAGGTACTAAAAAAAGGGGTTTTTTGTTTGTTTGTTTTTGAAACAGGATCTCACTCTGTCACCCAGGCTGCAGTGCAGTGGCACAATTATGGCTCACTGCAACCTCGACCTCCTGTGCTCAAGTGATCCTCCTACCTCATCCTCCTGAGTAGCTGGGACTACAGATGCATGCCACCACACCTGGCTAATTTTTGTATTCTTTATAGAGATGGGGTTTTGCCATGTTGCCCAAGCTAGTCTTGAACTCCTGGGCTCAAGCGATCCACCCACCCCAGCCGCTGAAGTGCTATGATTACAGGCATGAGCCACTGCACCCAGCCAAGAAAAGGTTTTCAACGGATATCTAAATAAACTTTAGTAAAGAGTGATGGAGTGTGGAAGAAGCAAGTAAAATCTTACTTGTAAGAAGCACTCTGCCCTGATGATAGTATCCAGGAAATTGGTAAATTCTCTTCCATGTTCATAATTATTCACCTTGTACCAAATACATTCTAGAGCAAAAACAGTAAATATAAGCATGTAGTTGTACCACAGTAAAAAAGTACACAAAAATAATTATGACTAAAGTAACAAATAAGTGACAAAGTAAAAAAGCCATTAAGTTTCATACATCCTAGCTAACTCATGATGTAGACTAGAACAGATACATGGAGGTGATAGTGAGATGTTCCTCAACAATTTGGTAATACAGGGAAAAGTTTACAGTGAAAAAAAATAAATGGAGAAAATTCACGTATAATGAATATGGTAAGCTTTATATCACATAGTAATCCAAGAAAGTATAAACATCTGAATTGAAAGTTTTAGAATACCCTAAACTTCAGTTAGGGTAGGCTGGGTATAATGTAAGAGTGATAGAAATTTAGTAAGTGGAAATTTAATAAACTGTATCATATTCCATTTAAAAGATTCAGAGTACAAGAAGGAGAATTGGCCTGGAACCAACTAAAAGCAACTTTAACCATCAGAAGAGTCAGGAGTTGCTTATCCTGTAAAGAAACAATTTGGTCAAAAGAAATACCATGTCCAGAGAAATATACCCTCTCCTCCCCACCATCCCCCACCATTGGAGGAATGAATGCTCAGGCTTTACTCTGGCCTGGATGAAACACTTCTCACTGCCCTTTCCTTTAATTCTATAATTAAGAAACCTTCTAATGACAAATTTGGCTCCCATATATGCTGATAGCACAGAGGGAATATTCTAGTTGGCAAATATGACCATTTTGCATACCAGAAATAATTAATCTTATAATAAGCTGACATTCTGGCTTATACATTAGTTTCCTCTGAGTTTCATTACCATTAATGGGAAGACTCTGGGGGCTTAACAGCAAGGTTCTGGACATATGAAGATGAAGAATTCTTGGATTACAATAGTCACCAAAGTAGAACACCCCATTGAGTTTTGGTGGCCATCCAGCAGTGTTTCCTTAACAAAATCTGTCTCCCTTCTTACTGTCTTAAAATTACAACAACATAAAACATTCATGCTTTAAATATATGATTACCAGAGACATAATTACGACATATGAAGGCTCCTCTTGTCTAGGATTTGGCACCCTCATAAAAGAAACCCATTTGTAAACTATCTTGTTCCATCCTCACTCAATTCTTACCTTCTTGTAATGTTTGACTCAACCAGTAATAAAACCTCAGCAAGACGGGCTCATCTCTGACACAATTAATATAGTGAAGCAGCAGAGAGCTGTTTAGCACTGAGCCCATCTGAGAAGGCAGCTGCAATGACAGAACAATCGATCAACAATTAAGTATCTGAAAAGTGGATAAGGGAATCATCATACAGAAAATATATAACAAAAACAGGCTTAGCATGATGGCTCATGTCTATAATCCCAACACTCTGGGAGGCCAAGGCAGGAAGATCACTTGAGCCCAGGAGTTTGAGACCAGCCTGGGCAACATATTTTTTAAATAATTTTTTTATTTTGAGACAGAGTCTTGCTCTGTTGCCATATGCCAGGCTGGAGTGCAGTGGTGTGACCTCAGCTCACTGCAACCTCCTGAGTTCAAGTAATTATCCTGCCTCAGCCTCCCGAATAGCTGGGACTACAGGCACGTGCCACCATGCCCAGCTAACTTTTGTATTTTAGTAGAGACGGGGTTTCACTATGTTAGCCAGGATGGTCTCAATCTCTTGACCTCATGATCCCCCTGCCTTGGCCTCCCAAAGTGCTGGGATTACAGGCATGAGCCACCACGTCCGGCTTAAATAATTTTTTTAAAACCGAGTCTCGCTCTGTCACCCAGGTGGGAGAGCAGTGGCACAATCTTGGCTCACTGCAACCTCTGTCTCCCAGGTTCAAACGATTCTCATGCCTCAGCCTCCAGAGTAGCTGGGACTATAGGCACGCACCACCGCACCCAGATAATTTTTGTATTTTTTTTTCTGTTTTTTAAAGACGGGGTTTCAGCATGTTGGTCAAGCTGGTCTTGAACTCCTGACCTCAGGTGACCCGCCCACCTCAGTCTCCCAAAATGCTGGGATAACTGGCATGAGCCACTGCGCCCAGCCTGATATAATTTTTTTAAAAAAATTAGCCAGGCGTGGTGATGCACATCTATAATCCCAGCTACTTGGAAGGCTGAGATGGGAGGATCACATAAGCCCAGGAGTTGAAGGCAGCAGTGAGCCATGATTATACCACTGCCTGTGTGACAGAATAAGACCCTGTCTCAAAAAAACAGAAAAAAAAAAGGGCCATGAAGTTCAAATAGAAAAATGCAAAGAAGCATATAGTCCAGTCACATACCTCTAAGCAATGGATGTTCTGTAAAAGTTGGGGGAAGCTTTGAAGCTGTTCTAGTGGAAATGATCTACTTCTACTCAGACAATCAGAAAGACTCATCTCTTTTTTTCCACATTCTTTAGTGCAGCTACTGGAATTGAGCACTGGTATAACTGAGAGAGAATTCCACTTCTAAAGAAAGAAAATAAAACAATCTATTGATGGACTAAACAGACTACAAACCATAAATATAAAAGCAGTTGTTAAGGTGTTTCAATTAAAGGAATCTGAATATGGTTTACACAAAATCCTGGGTAACTGACATGTATTTAAATATCTATAATCTCCTCTAAGATATGAACGGCTATTATTTGGATTTAATAAAAGAAAGCCATGCAAGTTGTTTGGGCTTTAGATACTTACTCTTTTTAGAGGACGAACATTAGCTGTACCTAACATCAATTTCAGAGGTTCTGGAGAAGGTCCCTGGTTTCTTTGCTTCATGGCAAGCAGAGCCGTCTTCCATAGATTCTCTGAATTCTTAAAATAGATCTATAAATTTGGATATAAAGTACAAGAGAGTAGGCACTCATAAATTGGAGCAACATAAAGTCTAAAACTCTTATTAATTGAAAATACATTATGAAATCTTTACACCCAGACAAATACATTTAAAGTTTTTTTTCTCATCAGCAATCTATTAAATACACTAAATAGGATTAATACAAAATGCCAATCCCTAAAAAAACTTCCCCAAAATAGTATCACAATACTAGAAAGTAAAATAGTAGGCTGTAAACATTTCAGTTGAAATCTGTAAGTTAACCTTACCAAAAATAACATATTTCAATCTCAGTATGATTTCTCTCTCCTTAATCGCTTACCTTCTTCCTTACAGGCAAAGATACAGAAATCAGAGCAGGAGCAAAGAACTTATACAGAGACAACAAAGCCTGGAGATGAGGCTGCATTCCCTGAAATAAAAATAAGTTTTTCATTTTCAATTCTGTGGCTATTAAGAAACTGAGGAAACAAATACCAATAAGAAGGAAAAAAGTATATTCAGACCATAATTTCACTACGAGATATATCTACGGAAAGATGCTATCGAAAATCAAAAAATGAGTAGCCAGGCATTCAAGTCAACCACCATAAAACAACCCTCTCCGAACTGTGATCTTCTCGCTTAAGACCTTTTTTGACTTTACTTCTACCTTCTGTTTTCTCTTTTCTTTTCTCTTCCTATACTTTAGGCTTACCAGTTATACTTACTAGCATAGCATAGCTTATTTTCACTAGTATCATACTCAGGACTCAAAGTTAACTTGTCCTTGATTTAGACATCAAAGGGATAGGACCAAAAGAAAAGCTAATACCTGATTATCATAATTCTTGGAAAATCATCTAGGAAATTATGCCATAATCAAGCAGCTTTGGTATAACTGAAACAAGTCTTACGTCTTAACAAAAACAGTAATTTCACAATGAAAGAAGTCATTACTGCTACAAACCTGTTTTATACATCTGGCTATCCGGAGAAAGAATACCACTAAAATGAATTGTAAGAAAGTAACTGAATTGTTTTATTATACTAAAATTTCATTGAATCAAATACTGTAAAAAGTAAGGCAGCAAATGAGGCTTAGAAATACAACCTTTTTTTTTTTTTTTTTTTAGACAGAGTCTTGCTCCATCGCCAGGTACCAGGCTGGAGTGCAGTGGTGCAATCTCGGCTCACTGCAACCTCCACCTCCCGGGTTCAAACAATTCTCCTGCCTCAGCCTCCTGAGTACCTGGTACTACAGGCACATGCCACCACACCCAGCTAACTTTTGTATTTTTAGTAGAGACGGGGTTTCACCATGTTGGCCAAGATGGTCTTGATCTCTTGATCTTGTGATCCGCCTGCCTCGGCCTCCCAAAGTGCTGGGATTACAGGCGTGAGCCACTGTGCCCAGCCTAATATTTCTATTTTATAACAGCTCCTTGAAGTTAAATTTATTAAAACAAAATTAAATTGATCCAGTTTATCTACATTGAAAATATCTTCTAACCTCTGTACACCCATTATCCATGGGTATCAGAGTGTTTGTTTTGAGCCAGAATGCTTTTTATAGAATACTTGGTAGTGCTGAGGCCTTTATAACGTATAGTCTAGTTAATTATAACTATTTTTATTGTTAAAAAGTTAATGCTAAAAAAGGGGCGGGGGAGATTTCCAGTTAAAAATGGCATATTGAAGACATAATTAATTCTGGGTTCTCCTAAAGCCCCATTTAAAAGACAGTAAAAGGATGAAAAAGGTGGCTAGGCATGGTAGCTCACACCTGTGATCCCAGCAATTTGGAAGGCCGAAGTGGGTGGATCACTTGAGGTCAGGAGGTTGAGACCAGCCTGGAGTTTGAGACCAGCCTGGCCAACATGGTGAATTCCTGACTCTACTAAAAATACAAAAATTAGGCTGGGCATGGTGGTGCACACCTGCAGTCCCTGCTACTCAGGAGGCTGAGGCAGGAGAATGGCTTGAACCTGGGAGGCAGAGGTCACACTGAGCTGAGATTACATCACTGCACTCCAGCTTGGGTGATGGAGTGAGACTCCATTTCAAAGAAAGAAAGAAAAGAAAGAAAAAGAAAGAAAGAGAGAAAGAGAGAGAGAGAAAGAATAAAAAGGGGATAAAGCAAAGCATAAGTTCAAAGAGAACAAGAGAAGAGACAACAGCAAATGAAAAACCTAAACAAGATTTTGGAACCTAGAATGAAGATGGGCAAATAGTAACCAAGTCAGCAGAACAGATAAAATAAAATATAAGGTATCAACAGAAAAAGCCTCAAAAAAATCAGATTCATGTTTGACAACTCCCAGAAAGGATCAAGATTTGAGGGACCAGATATCTCTAAAAAGTGAGGATGCCAGAGGAACAGAAAACTGGAATACTGCATGAAAGGCTACATAAGAAGCAGTTAGAACCCCAAATTCCTTCACTATACTGGCAAGACATTAGGTTTTACTCTCTCAAAATGAAGCTGGACTCAGATACAACCAGGCATAGCCACGGGAGGATAACAAGACAATTTCTCACCCCCTTCTACTGCTTAGGTCTCAGAGTGCCAGTAGCCAAGTTTACACCCCATGATGATGTATTAGCCCACTCTAACACTGCTATAAAGAACTGCCCGAGACTGGGTAATTTATAAAGGAAAGAGGTTTAACTGACTCACAGTTCTGCATGGCTAGGGAGGCCTCAGGAAACTTACAATCATAATGGAAGGGGAAGCAAACACATCCTTCTTCACATGATAGCAGGAAGGAAAAGAATGAGAGCAGAGAAAAGCCGGAAGCCCCTCACTATCACAAGAATAGCATGGAGGAAACTGCCCCCATGATTCAATTACCTCCCATCAGGTCCCTCCCCATGACATGTGGGGATTATGGGAATTATAATTCAAGATGAGATTTGGGTAGAGACACAGCCAAACCATTTCAGATGGTTAATTTTAAGTGTTGATTTGGTTGGTCCACAGGCTGCGCAGATATTTGGACAAACATTATTCTGGGTGTTTCTGTGAGGGATTTTTGGATATGATTAACATTTAAATCAGCAGACTTTGAGTAAAGCAAATTGACTATCCTCTGTAATGTGGATAGGTCTCATCCAATCAGTTGAAGGCCTGAATAGAAGAGGCCCTTAAATATGAAGAAAATGTCCAACAGACTGCCTTCAGACTTTATCTGCAACAGCAGATCTTTCTGGTTCTATAGTAGACTGCCACTGAACTCAAACTGGAACATTGGCTCTCCTGGATCTCCAGTCTGCTGGCCCATCCTGTAGGTTTTGGAATTACCAACCACCATAATTAAATGAGCCAATTCCTCATATTATAAATACACACACACACACACACACACACAGAGCTGATTATGTGCAACTATGCAACCCCATAAGATAGGAAACAGGAGAATTCTGCTGAGAAAATTGACATAGTCATCTGGGAGAATCCTCAATGAAACATCAAGATCCTACAGTGAACAACTCCTGCTCATGCACACAAGTTTCCAATCATCGTGTTACTACTTTAGTTTTAAATATGAACAAATAACCTTCACCAAGCATTTGAGAAAAACTACCAGGAAAGACAGGCCAGGTGCAGTGGCTCACACCTGTAATCCCAACACTTTGGGAGGTCAAGGTGGATGGAGTGCTTGAGCCCAAGAGTTCAAGGCCAGCACGGGTGACATAGAGAGACCCTGTCTCTACAAAAAATTTAAAAATCAGCCAGGCATGGTGGTGCATGCCTGTAGTCCCAGCTACTCTGGAGGCTGAGGCGGGAGTGAGCAGTGAGCCATGATCATGCCACTGCACTCCAGTCTGGGTGACAAAGTGAGACCCCTGTCTCTTAAAAAAATTAAAATAAAATTTAAATTTAAAAAGTACCATTAGAAAAAATATACGTTAAAAAAAAGAAAAACAAAATAAAAAGTACCATTAAAGACAGACCAAACAAACTAAAAACACAAACTATGAGAAAACAGAGACAAAGCTTGAAACAGAAAAATATCACAGCCCAAGGTACATACACACGGCTCATGACTGATAGAGAGAGAATCCCAGAAACCATCCTCATCAACCCTTAAGATAAGACCTAATTCTCTTGACTGACAAGCCTAGGGTAATGTCAGGGAAAAAAAACAAACACCTAATTCTCCCTTCTTGTTCCAAAGATTGCTCTGGACAGGGCCTAGTGTATGTAGGAAAATAACATGCCTGCCTCACTTCCCACTATTCATGCCTGCCACCAGAAAGGCAATTTTTGTGGTTTGTTTCCTTCACAGATTGGGAGTTATGGGGCATGGATGGGGATAGATGGGATATATGCCTTTGCAGGTATAAGAAATTCACACATCCAGTGTATTTCCTTACACATAGGGACTAACTATGCCTGTTACTATCATGCATGTTAGGTTACACATGCACATGGCTATGCCTTCTTGGTAAATTATTGGACTTGCCCAAACTCATCAAAATTTAGCTAATCAAAACAATGTTATGTATGCATCTTTTTAAATGGGTATTGATAATGGAATAACTTAGTAATGTACTTATAGAGTGTTAGTAATGAAATCATATATTTAGTGTCTTTTAGATTTTTAGACAATCATCTAATAAATCATTTTTTAACTTGAACATACACTGTGTTTCAGCTAATACTAATCAGCAAGATCTTTTTTTTTTTTCTGAGACAAAAGTCTTGCCCTGTAACCCAGGCAGGAGTACAATGGAGCGATCTCAGATCACCGCAACCTCCACCTCCTAGGTTCAATCGATTGTCCTGCCTCAGCCTCCCAAGTAGCTGGGATTACGGGTGCCCACAACCACGCCCAGCTATTTTTTGTATTTTTAGTAGAGACAGGGTTTCACCACATTGGCCAGGATGGTCTCTAACTCCTGACCTTGTGATCCACCTGCCTCAGGCTCCCAAAGTGCTGGGATTACAGGCGTGAGCCACCGTGCTCACCCAGCAAGATCTTTTATTACGGTAAGAATTTTCTTATTCCATTGAAATGTTTTGCTGTAACATGGGAAAAGGTACATCTTTTTCATAATTTCTACTAATGTGAAATAAAATTCAAATTGGACAAAAACATTACCATTAATACCTTCAGAGAACTAAGAAAAAATAATTGTGCCCATGGAGCTAAAACAGAAGGCTATAAAAAAAAGAATAATCATTGAACTGCACTAAGAGAAGACCTGACATTGGAGAAGCACAAATGTGTTCTGTGTTTCCATCTTTCATTCAATAAATGCCTGTAGGCAGGTCATGAAGGCTCCAGTTAGGCATGGCCACTATTACTTCCTATTGTTTCATACCCAAAGCTTCACAGACTTCTGTTACCTGGCAGGTAAAGTGAAAATAACAATGCAAGAGAGCTGTAAAGAACTAGAGATAACAGTCAGAGACTGTATTGAAGTTTAAGCATCCAGAAGATAATGTCTTAAAATGCTTTCCTTGGCCTGCCTCAGTGGCTCACGCCTGTAATCCCAGCACTTTGGGAGGCCGAGGCAGGTGGATCACTTGAGGCCAGGCATTCCAGACCAGCCTGGACAACACACTGAAACACTACCTCTACCAAAAAATACAAAAGTTAGCCAGATGTGGTGGCACGTGCCTATCATCCCAGCTACTCAGGAGGCTGTAGCAGGAGAATCACTTGAACCTGGGAGGCAGAGGACGCAGTGAGCCAAGATCATTCCACTGTACTCCAGTCTGGGCAACAGAGTGAGACCCTGTCTCCAAAAAACAGAAAAAAAGATAATGAGTTATTTGATTTTGTATTCCCAAAGTCTGGCTCTGTACGTGGCACATAGTACCGTGGCAGGTCTTAAGTCTTTTCAGTACTCACCATTTTGGCCTGAAGATCAAGCAGTTTTCTCACACGAAATGGTTTGACTAGAAACATAAAGGAAAGAGGTAGTATGAATTTGGGTTCAGAATAAAAAGAAACTGGTGATATTTAACCACCATGCAGTTCATACAGTTTTTTTTCTTACAATGTATCAAGAAAATAAGCACACTGTTCAGTTAAGCCACTAAGCAGATGCTCTTAAAAATCAATTTCCACAAAATGAATTTTGTCATATAACTAATGCTAATAGTGATTTTAACTTTAAAAAGGCCAATACAAATGCACACTCCACAAAGTGTAATATAACTGTAATGAAAATACTCACCATTCTCTTTTTTGGTAAGTAAATATAACAAATGGCAAACATAAGGGCACTGTTAAAACATAAAAAATTTAAGAGAAATGATAATATGTCTTGAACACAGGGGTAACATATTTTCCTCAAATGTCAATCTTATGCTGATTAAGTAAAAAACCTTCAGGACTTCACTGAAAAATAGTCTTACAAAGCATCTCTTTTTCCTACTGATTTAAAAAAAACAATAGTTTTAGTCAACATCCCATTAGGTCATTTTTTTAGTTATTTTTGGAATGTAAACATATTGCAGACAATCTGAAAAACAAAATTACCTATCATCCTTCTACCTAACAAAAATTCATGCATTCCTTTCAATATTTGTATGTATGTAGTTACTAAATTCATACAAATATTGAAAAAATTGCATGAATTTTTGTTATTTCTTTCAATATTTTTAGGTATGTATGTATTGTTAGTTAGTAGAGACAAAGTCTCACTATACTGCCCAGGCTGGTCTCTAACTCCTGGCCTCGAGTGATTCTCCTAACTCAGCCTCATAAAGTATGAGGATTATAGGCATGAGCCACTGAGCTTGGCCCATACTTAAGACATAAACTTGAAACTTTTATCCTGATTTCCTATTTAAAACCATTTTCCCATGTTGTTCAGTCTCCAAAATTATCATTTTCTTTTTTTTTTTTTTTTTTTTTTGAGACGGAGTTTCGCTCTTGTAACCCAGGCTGGAGTGCAATGGCGCGATCTCGGCTCACCGCAACCTCCGCCTCCTGGGTTCAGGCAATTCTCCTGCCTCAGCCTCCTAAGTAGCTGGGATTACAGGCACGCACCACCGTGCCCAGCTAATTTTTTGTATTTTTAGTAGAGACAGGGTTTCACCATGTTGACCAGGATGGTCTCGATCTCTTGACCTTGTGATCCACCCGCCTCGGCCTCCCAAAGTGCTGGGATTACAGGCGTGAGCCACCATGCCTAGCCAAAATTATCATTTTCAATGCTGCTTCATATTCCAGTGAGTATATATACAAGAATTCAATTAACAGCTTGGTCTTCAGTTTGGCAAATACCATGCACTCAATTTGCTAATTAAATTATTGAATGATTGATTCCCTTATACCATTTCATTTTCAGTGTCCATCTGTTGAGGTCTTATTCTAGACCAGGGGTCAGGAAACTATGGTCTACCTGTTTTTGTAATTAAAGTTTTACTAGGACACAGCCACACTCATTCATTCGCTTATTGTCTACAGCTGCTTGCACACACCAGTAGAATTGAATAGCTGCAACAAAGACAATATTCTCAGGCCCAGAATATGTACTACCTGTCCCTTTAAGAAAAATTTGCCAACAACCTCTCTAAATAATAGGTAAGTGAAAAAATAAAGTATTTAATGGTATTAGAGAAAGCAACAAAAGCAAAGACTTTCCTTAAACAAATTTGTATTTTTGTAGTCATGACTCTAAACTTCAAGGTCTAAAGTACAGCATATTCCATATTGCTTCTTCTATACTTAGAAATGGTTTCTTTCTTTCTTTCTTTTTTTTAAAGACAGGGTTTCAGCATGTTCATCAAGCTAGTCTTGAATTCCCAACCTCAGGTGATCCGCCCGCCTTGGCCTCCAAAGTGCTTGGATTACAGGCGTGAGCCACCATGCCCGGCCAGAAATGGTTTCAAAAAAAATAAGTTAATTAAAAAAAAAAGAGGAAAAAAACAAGGCCAGGCATGGTGGCTCACGCCTGTAATCCAAGCACTTTGGAGGCCAAGGCGGGCGGATCACCTGAGATCGGGAGTTCAAGACCAGTCTGACCAACATGGTGAAACCCTGTCTTTAAAAAAAAAAAAAAAGAAATGGTTTCAGAAGCCAGGCATGGTGGCTCATGCCTGTAATCCCAGTACTTTGGGAGGCCAAGGCAGGTGGATCAGGAGTTCGAGACCAGCCTGACCAAATGGAGAAACCCCATCTCTACTAAAAATACAAAATTAGCCGGGCATGGTGGTGCATGCCTGTAATCCCAGCTACTCGGGAGGCTGAGGCAGGAGAATCACTTGAACCCAGGAGGCGGAGGTTGCAGTGAGCCAAGATCACGCCATTGTACTTCAGCCTGGGCAACAAGAGTGATACTCCATCTCAAAAAAAAAAAGAAAAAATCTACTCTGTGTGTGTGTGTGTGTGTGTGTGTGTGTGTGTAAAGGGATGGAGAAAAACAAGCTACAACTAAAACCATACAACAGCAGCATATAAGCCAGGAGCAGTGTAATGAGAGTTAAAGCATTCTTCAGTACCCTACGACAGGGAGAGAAAAAAAGAAAATGAAAAACAGAGTTAAAGCATCCTAAGGTCTTTGTATCATATAAGATAAAGGTAAAGATGCCAGTCACCTTTAGACTTTAAGTATGCGTGTTAAGTAGGTATGAATACACTTTGAAGAAGAGTCACAGAGTATGTGACTTCCAAACAAGAATAGGAAAAAAACTAGGGTCAATCCAAAAAAAGGAGGATAGAGAACACCTGGAAAAAAAAAACCCCAACTCATTTAGAATTATCTCAAAATAAGATATCTGAATTTATTTTTACTATATCAGTAGTCATTACCAAGGTAAATAAACTAATTCTTAGCCGGGAAAGGCGACAAAGCAAGATATCGTCTCAAAAAAAAATAAAAAAAATTAGAGGACCCTTTGGCCGGCCATGGTGGCTCACACCTATAATCACAGCACTTTGGGGAGCTCAAGGCAGGTGGATCACCTGAGGACAGGAGTTAAAGATCAGCCTGGCCATCATGGGGAAACCCCATCTCTACTAAAAATATGAAAAAATTAGTCAGGCATGGTGGTGGGCACCTGTAATCCCAGCTACTCAGGAGGCTCAGGCAGGAGAATCGCTTGAACCCAGGAGGTGAAGGTTGCCGAGAACTGAGATCATGCCATTTTACTCTAGCCTGGGCAACAAGAGCAAAACTCTGTCTCAAAAAAAAAAAAAAATATATATATATATATATATATATTTACCACAAAGAGCTTTTGTTTATCTGGATTACGTCTGTCAATACTCACCATGTTGCAAATAATACTGAGAATTTATTTTTTTGAGACAGGTTCTTGCTTGTCACCCATGCTGAAATGCAATGGCATCATAACAACTCACTGCTGCCTCCAACTCCCAAGCTCAAGTGATCTTCCTACCCCAGCCTCCCAAGTAGTCAGGCAGGACTACAGGTGCATGCCACTACACCCAGCTTTCTTTTTTTTTTTAAGTAAAGACAGGGTCTCACTAGGCTGGAATGCAATGGCATGATCTCAGCTCACTGCAACCTCCTCTTCCTGGGCTCAAGCAATCCTCCTGCCTCAGCCCCCCAAGTAGCTGGAACTATAGATGCATACCACCACACCCAGCTGATTTTTGTATATTTTGTAGAGATGGGGTTTCACCATATTGTCCAAGTTGGTCTCGAACTCCTGAGCTCAAGTGATCTGCCCACCTCAGCCCCCGGAAGTGCTGGGATTATAGGCATAAGCCACCATGCCTAGCCTATTTCTACAATTTTTTTTTGAGACAGTTTCACTCTGTCTCCCAGACTAGAGTACAGTGGCACAATCTTGGCTCACTGCAACCTCCACCTCCTGGGTTGAAGCAATTCTCTGCCTCAGCTTCCCGAGTAGCTGGGATTACAGGCACCCACCATCACACCTGGCTAATTTTTGTATTTTTAGTAGAGATGGGGTTTCACCATCTTGGCCAGGCTGGTCTGGAACTCCTGACCTCATGATCCACCCACCTTGGCCTCCCAAAGTGCTGGGATTACAGGCATGAGCCACTGTGTTCGGCCATACAAATCTTTTTAATGTCTCTGGCTTAAAAGAATACAGTTGGATTCTGTGCTGCAGCACCAATTCTGTTGTTTTGATTGAAGATCAATCTTCAATCTTATGTTTTATATTAAGAAAATCCAGCCTCATACCGATATGTAGTTGGAAAAGGTAGGAATATTTTAAAAGCCTTTTCAGAAAACTGTGGGTATTAGTCTTTGATACTACACCAAAACTTGACAAGTGATAGTTTCTTAAGGGTTAGCTGCAATGTAGAATATGAAACATTCGCAGTAAAAGCTCTGTACTCTGCTCCATTAAAATTCATTGATGTATCTTCTACTTTGAATGGATCTTTTATCCATGTATGAATTTAGAACATCATACTTGTTAATCTGGAAAATATTGGCTCGCTGAGTTATACTGAGCTTCCAAATGCTGACACATTTCATTATATGATAACTAAAAATCACATCATTAATACCATGACCAATCATTAGAAAAGTCAGGTAACTGAAAGCCATCTGGCTCATAATGGCAGAAACAAATTTTCCAAACTTCAATTTTTCACTTCAATGCTCAAATTTTATCACCAGCAACAGATACTGCCAGTTGTTTTCTTTGAAATAACAGGTTTATTTTGTGCATTTTCAAGAAAACATCTTCCAAATACTCAAGTCTGAATAACTATGGTTCGTATGTCAGTCATTGCTTTTATTTTTTCCACTCTTTTTTTCTTTTTATTTTTCCACCCAAATCTCATCTTGAATTTTTTTTTTTTTGAGACAGAGTCTCACTCTGTCCTCCAGGCTGCAGTGCAGTGGTGTGACCTTGGCTCACCATAACCTCCGCCTCCTGGGTTCAAGCGATTCTCCTGCCTCAGCCTCTGGAGTAGCTGGGACTACAGGCACATGCCACCATGCCCGGTCAATTTTTGTATTTTTAGTAGAAACAGGGTTTCACTGTGCTGGCCAGGATGATCTCTATCTGCTGACCTCATGATCAGCCCACCTCAGCCTCCCAAAGTGTGGGGATTACAGGCATGAACCACCGTGCCCAGCTGTCAGTCATTCTTTCAAATAAAAATGGAGGCTGGGCACGGTGGCTCTCACCTATAATCCCAACATTTGGGAGGCCGAAGCAGGCGTATCACCTGAGGTCAGGAGTTCGAGACCTGCCTGGCCAACATGGTGAAACCCCGTCTCTACTAAAAATACTTAGCCTGGCGTGGTGGCACACACCTGTAGTCCTAG